GTAATAAGTAATTAGTGAGTGTACTTGTATGAGTTAAAATAGAGTTTTGACTTTTTCTCTATATCTGTTCTAATCTTTTATGATATTTAGTTAGTCTTTGAATCCTTCATCGGTAGTTCTACATTCATAAATCAGAGTTATATGTTGAAGTATGTTTTTATTTGTAGATTAATTAGAAAATTTATGTTCCTCAGATATTTTAGGGATTGGGAATCGGTCATTTAAAGGTCATTTTTTGAAAATAGTGATCTTTTACGTTGAGAATGCTACATTATTTAGTACAGAATAAGATGTTTGTTGTTATTATGCTTATATGAGTTCAGTGATCTTTGATAATTATTTTCATCAGCTGATAACGCAAATCATATTGAATGAAAAGATTATTGCTACTGTTATTAGTAAAAATTAGTGTTGAAATACTAAAAAATTTCAATAGCAGGGTATCACTGTGATTTGCTTCAAGTTGAATGAGAATACTACTAATTTATAAGAGATTTGATTTTTGCGGCTGTAATATATTGTCCACTTTGTGGTTTTGTAAAGTTAGAATAACAAACAACGTGGAATGAGTTGCGTTTTTTTCATTTCAACTGCTCTAATTAAATGATATACACACTTATTTGTACAGTTAAATTAAACATTTTATAACCGTTATTTTGTGTTCAACAAGCAAGAACTTCGTTTAGTTAACTGGTTAGAAGGAATAATTGTAAATACTTTCCATTCTCTATATTCTAATGATCTTATCGATAACGAATCGGAAATTAACCGAGTAACATTATTCAGGAATGGGTATTCTATATAGTTCATCAATAAAATCTAATTGATAAATGAGATACTTCAACAATTCACCTCACTCAAAAAGTGTTTTTGTCAAACTTTTATTTAAGGGGGACGATTTTAGATCCCAAAATAAGCATCAACTTAAAGCCAACATTGCATGGACATTTCTTGCTGGGAAAGTAATAATCATAAATGGGATAGAAAGGCTGTACAGAGAATCTAACTTGGACCATAGATCTCCTCTGGCTACATCTGCATGCGTCTATCTATTTACCTGTACATTTTGGGGCAAGTATGTCGGAAGAGCATAGAGGATACTATTTAGAAAAATTGCAGAAGATATAACAAACAAGCTGATTTCGAGTGAATCCAAACTATATAGCAGTAACAGAAGAAAACATATTGAACATTAGTTATTAAGTAGGCATTGGTGCTGTCTTCCAAGTAATAGGTAGACAGAATAATTCTAGTCTTTTGATGTGCCCAAAAAGCATCGGTTATTCGCTGTATAAAACCTAACTTATGTATGCGGAAAGAACATGTATTTCACCTGGTGCTACCATGGTGATTAATCAAATACCCCTCTATGATTAAACTCTCATATTTGCTTATTACTAATGTCAAACTTTCCATTTGATTGTAGACAATTTGTAAACGTGATAAATTATTTATCTATGGAACTGTTTTTGTATTTTGTTTAAATCAACCTCTTTAGTTAAGATTGAGCAATTCCTAATGATTTAATGTGCAATGAAACAATTTATTTAGGTTTGTAAAATTTTGTTATGCCATCGAGCAAGAATCTTAAGTTCCGGGTTTTCTGCCAACTATCTCCAACCACGTAGTATCTGACGACAGCTCAGTGACTACATTCAAAGACGATCGATAGGATTCGATCAGCCTGGTGCTATTATAGTGATCAGTCAGATACTGGCTTTGTCTTCTTTTATTCTCTGACCATTATTTTCATGATTTCATCTTTATTTAATCGCAAAATGTCTATCGTTTGCTTTAATCCAGTTTTCATTTTTAATTTATGATTACTATAACTTGTTTTATTATTTTAGTGTTTATCAATACAGTATTTGACCATTAATCAGTTTAAACAACCAAATACTATTTTTTCATGACCTCTTCAACTATTGTCGTCAACATTATTTTCATTATTACGCTATTCTTGTTTATGGCAATCGACGTAATTTCCATTATTTTATTCACTGTAATCATAACAACTTGGAAATTTTCTTATACCTGATTTAGTCATGGTCTTCCCTCGTTTAATTCATTCATCTGTACATTAAAGTTACATAAATATGTAAGGATATATAGTTATTTCTTGATTGAGATCATGGACCGATTGATGTTAAACCACCATTGAGAACCTGGAAGCACTGGACAGCCGTTTCGTCCTATTATGGAACTCCTCAGCAGTGCGCATCCATGATCCCGTTCATATCATATTGAAGGGAAAATTTGCTAGGACTAATCCGTATATTCATTGTTCAGGGTCAATAAAATATATAGTCACACTCAATAATGAGGCGATTATTATTGATCGTAGCGAATCTAATTTGGCTAGTTAGGATTAAGAATTTTTCAATCAAAATAAGCAGCTTCAATAAGGATAGTAGTTATTTTGTTGTGTCAAAACTATGCACCCAGTTTTAAATTGATTGGAAACTAAGAGTAAATCCTACAGACAACTTTGCCATTGGTTGTCATAAAATCAAGTATCTGCTGACTAAGTAAATAGTTAAATGTTGGAAAGCACATTCATTGTTAGCATTTGAGAAAGAAATGCCGCGTAGTGGACCCCGACAATCTAATTAGCAAATGAAAATAAAGCTATCTATTTATGATAAAACATTTTTATGTTCTTAAATAATAATCCCCTAAGGGACTTAATAAATAACCTATCGTATGTCTGAAATCAAATTGGAATTGTATGTTTGTACCCAAGAATTAAATCATCTTCATGAATGTTTCGGTTCATTATGAATGTCATATTTCATAAATAGTGAAGTGAAAGAATACATTTTGTTTTTGTTATTATAAATTTTAATTGCTGTAGGTAGTCAGAGATATTATGTCATGATAAATTGTCAGAGATGGGAAAAGTTATAAAATCATTGAGAAAGTGAAATCTCAAACGATTCATTTGACCTCAAAAGTCTGCTGTACATGTTTAAGGTTACTTATTTAGCACATTTAAAAGGAAATAAAACACGAACTAAATTGTCTTTGTATTTAAGTGTACGTAATGTAAAGTGTTTAATTTTATCAGGAACTTAAATGAAACGCAAGTTTTCAGAACATATTTGTATTGTTTTTCAAGTAGTTTTATAACTCATTTTAAGTTATTAGTTATATCTCATTATTATAAGAAGTTATTCTATAAGTATTTGAACAGTAATATAACGTTTAGAAGAAATTGAGTCAATGGGATCTCAGATGTGATCAAAGTATTTTGTTGCAAACTCAGCAAAAGATAAAATCGCTCACCAGCCAATAGAGCCTTACTTGCTTTGATTTATTTGGCATCAGTAGTGAAATAAGTTAACATTTCTTAGAAGCTCCAAAAATTGAGAAAAACAGTTTTATCACTGTAACTGGATGGCATTCGTTAAGTAAAATACTGCTTTCTTATTTGTGCTTTCTTATGAGTAGTGAGAAATTACTTACATAAATTCCGAATATATTGATAGGCTTTTCAAAGCTGATTTTATCTGGTTTTCTTTGATTAGCAGTGACTAACATTCCAAGTACTAAAAAACTTATGATAGAACACATAAAATACTGACGTCTTTATCGGATAACTTTTTTTCATTAAATATATTATAGGTTACAAAAGATCTATTAAATTATGTAAGAACTTGGTTTACATCCACGAACTATGGATTATTTCAGTAACGTTAACCTTTCTGTAAATTAGTACATAATCGTACGAGAAGTTATTCAAGCAGTTTAGAATATTTTATCTTTGTATTCATTTATATGGTCACTAGTAATCAAACAAGCCACGTCTCATAATCTCAATAGTTTTTACCAGTGATTCAGTCAGTCATAATTACTGTGCTCCAAATTACAAATAAATATGATTATTTCAAGTGATATGTACTTTTCAAAAAACCTAATGTGAATTATAATCCTTAAATTTGAAGCGATTATAATGATCTCTATTTAATATTCTGAAAAATATGTAACTAAGCAGTGACTAAAAACATAAGTATCATATTCACACATTTTGTCGAGTATTTTTATTAGTCTCTAAGTTATTATGATAACATTAACTATCAGAAATCACGAACATAGTTTGAAGTATTATTCTACACCTCTTTGAAATGATATTTCTTTCGGAATTACTTGTTTAGTGGCATATAACATATTACTAACCAATTTTATATGACTGCCTAATTATATCATGTTGTATAACTGTTATCGGTAATTATTCTTCATCTGTCTGTTCGTAATTATAATCAGGGATAGGTTTTGTGGATATTACGGCAATTTTTTATGGTTGGATTCATGAGTTAATTGAAGCAAGACCATGGAAAACGTGGGAGAATTGGACGGCCGTTTTGTCATTGTATGGGACTCCTCATCAGTGCACATTCATGATCCCGCCTCGCGAGATTCGAACCCGGTATCTACCGAGAAAACTCAACCTCTAGACAACTGAGCCAGCATTGAACGATGTTAATGTCTAACTTTAACCAATCCACAAAATTGTACCACTGTTCATAATTACACGAATAAATAAATTTTTAATTTCATTAAAATAATAGACATTCGGTGGTATTTACAAAAACTACAACTTATAATGAATGTAATTTCGTATACAAAAGAAGTAATTAATTATCTTTACACTCATATTTATTTATTTCATTAGTTGAGATCATGAGTCAATTGAAGCTAGACCACCATGGAAAACCTGGAAGCACTGGACGGCCGTCTCGTTCTAGTATGGGACTCCTCAATAGTGCACATCATATTTATCACTTTCTTTTTCCTTACATAATTATATGAAGTAACTAACTGTTTTCTATTAAAAGCTGTTTATATAAACAAGTACTACAGATAATTTTTGTTTGTCTTGTTTTTTCTTTAATACGAAAAATTCCCATTCGTTCATGAATACTCCTCTATTCTGATTGGTTCATTCATTAGCATAGTTCATAATAATAGATACAAGTATTATGATTAACAATATTTTATTCAAATACTAATAAAATATAAAGAAACAGATTAAGAGATGTATTTTGTATTAAAATTAATGGGATTTATTATGCATAATCTAAGTAAGTAGCAAAATATATATATTTATTCCTCGATGGTTAATAAGTTGATTATGTTTACTTCATCTAAGATTTAGAATTTAGAAAAGAATATTGTTAGAAACATAATCATAATATCATAAGATTATAAATATATTCACGGGATTTCCATTATTCAATCTAGAATATATGTAGACTAAGTAAGAAATTATACTTTTTGATTTTCTAAAGATTAAACATACATTATGCACTTATTGCGATATCTGTATTTGAAGTCAGTGTTCATTATAAACCGTTGTAGTCTGATAGATCAATGAATTGAGAAATTACTAGATAGTTGAGTAATTTACATTTGAAAACGATTATGTGTAAGGAGTAAAATCAGCCCAAAGATATTTTGAAGAAAATAATAGGTGGTTAGAAATCTTCGATTCTATTTCCCATTGACTATTTCCAACCATCTAACATCTCAACATTACACACGTGATGTTGAATCAGCCAAACTAGTGGCCTTACTACAACTTAATCAGCGGAATGCAGTCCACATTACGTTTATCACTAATTAGTGACCACTCAATTGTACATAATCATTTTATACTTTTTAAATACAAATGTAACTATAATAAGATGATTAAAATGTTTTTGTCATAATAATTAAAGGTCATAGAGGTGTAAAAATAAATATGGTGATATGATGAGTATTCACGAATAAAACAATGAGAATATAGACATAAGTAAAGGGGAGAATGCAGTAATAATAATAATAATAATAATAATTGGATAGTCAAAATACTTAAGGCCAAGATAACGATAACGATAAGACGTACTTCTTTTGTATGCATAGTTCTGGTTTGAGCTCCTGGATGGTAAGAGCTTAAGTACTAATTCCGGGAGCTTAAACCAGAACTATGCGTACAAAAGAAGTACGTCTTATCGTTATCGTTATCTTGGCCTTAAGTATTTTGACTATCCAATTATTATTATTATTATTATTATTATTATTATTACTGCATTCTCCCCTTTACTTATGTCTTATATTCTCATTGTTTTATTCGTGAATACTCATCATATCACCATATTTATTTTTACACCTCTACGACAAATGTAACTGACAAAGTAATAAAATAAAGTCAAATGATTTCTCATCTGTTTAAGCTGTGATTTAAAACAACATTCAGATTAGAACGTAAATAAGATCATGATGAATTCGTGTAGAAATGATACTTTCCTTACATTAAATTGAATATATATATAATTCTAAGTATATTTGTAAGTTAACTTAACGAGTTTATATAAACTGTGTCCTGTTCTATCTAGAGACGACTTTATTTATTAAAACATGTTTATGACTTTGCCATTAGTATTCATCCTGGACTGACATTATTCAAAAGCATGTGTTATCTGATGAACCTCAGCAAATGTTTGAGTGTGAGAGCAACTAGTTATGTAATCAACGAATCATCATTAACTTCACAGATTAATAATCAATTTTCCATCATGTGTACTGATTCGAGAGATAGGGCACTCGTGTTTTCACTTCGTTGTTATCAGTAAAAATATAAAAACTATAAATGACATGGGTTTAAATAAAGAACAAACAGTGTAGCATAATAATCTGACTCCTACAAATTTCGCGGATTCTCTTTATCTGTCCACAACCTGTAACGTATATTATTAATTATTTAAAAATGAAACAATGTACATACATTATGTTGGAAAAATCTCGACCAAACTTGGATTTGAAATTTAGGTGTAAACCGATAAAATGTGCATAGAGCAATTAAAAGACTTAGTTGGTCTGAAAAATGTGATGTATTCGCGCTATAAATTTCGAACAATCTGGACATATATATACTTTTCAGGACATTTTACGTATTCATACGTCTTCTAATTACTCTGTCGAAGTTTATTTAAACTAATAAAAGACAATAATTTCGGAGAAATAAAAAATGTTATCTTGACAGTTGTCACCTTATAGGCTCACTCAATTAGTATTCTATTAAAGAAAACTGAAAAGAGCATGAAAATAGAATTCTTATAAATGGACGAATACTATCATCGTTTATATTTATTTGATCAATTACCATATGATAATTTGTATTATTGACCAAACAGCAGATATGTTTATGCTCGTATGACCTTAAACGTATAAATTTCATAATCGCTCAAAATGTTGTCTTGAGTCTTACATAAAACATAGTTAAGTTGTTGTGTTCAAATTAGAATTTATAACCGATAAATAGCTCTGGCGGTTTTTAATCCAGACTTAATTAGTAAAAACAAACATATTACTTGGAATTTCATTTTGTGTTCAAAATATTAATTACAGTTGATTGACCACTGGGTGGCGACGTAGTAGCGTCTCTGACTGTGAGGCTGGGTGACACGGGATCGAATCCGTCAGGGAGAATCAGGAAAAGCTTTGTCGATGATATAGCAAGTTCAGTAGTTGAGATCATGAGTAAATAGGGACTAGACCACCATGGAAAACCTGGAAGCACTGGACGGCCATCTCGTCCTAGTATGCGACCCCACAGTAGTGCGCATGCACGATCCCGACTCGGGAGATTCTATACGAGGACCTATTATTCAAGGTTTTATACATGTTTTAAAGTAATTAAGGTTTTTGTCTTGAAATTTTATATCTACTGATGTCAGTTTTTTAATAAACTCTTTCTTACATTTATTACATCATTGAGTTTTATTTCAACTATCGTCCAAATTAGTGATCTTATTTTTTAACTAAGCTTTACTGATTTTATTCCTATCAGCGTTTACTCATTATGTAATCATTTATTTTTGGCCGTTCGGACTGTTGTCACAATCACTGTTGTAGAATTTTCTTTTACATAAGTTATATGTTTACAGTATTTAGTCCATTAAATTTATTTACACCCTTGCGATACCATACTAATATGTCTTCAATATAACTTCCAACTAGAACTTTTCATGTAAGTAATTTAAGCCCATTGTGTAATAATGATTTTAAATATCACAGGTTGTAAGCAGCTGACAAGATCTGAACGAAATAGAACAAATCCATACTATTCTGCTAGAATCTTTGCTCTTGCTCCTTTTAAAATGATAAAGGGAATTGTGTGTATGAAATAAATTGTATAACTACAAGGTTTCTTGAAACATTTAGTCATATAAAACAAATCTATCAATATTCTGTTGAGTTTTCGTTCGAATAGAAGAATGTTAGTAGTTTTCACTGACCACTTTTTTCACCGATTTATTTTTAATTGAAATAAATCACAAATAACAAAGTTAGTGCTTAGTGAAAAAGACTATCCATGCATGTTTCATGAACATAAAAAATCAGTTAATAATTCAGCTGTATAAATCAGCTTTGTTCAAATAAACCGAGATTTATAGATTTTTCTACTCCTTTGGTGAATACCAGTCTTTACTTTAAAACAATTGGTCCCTTATTCAAAGTTAATGGAAAAAACATTTTATCTTTATTATAAGGTATTTGTATACATTGCTGATGTTTACAGTTTTTATTGCAAACTAAAGTTATACAACTAATGAAAATCAAGGGGCACGAGTGATTGAAGAATTCGCCCATCGACGAATTCATGGACGAATATTGCTGAACAGAATCGTACTAGTACGAAAAACTAGCTCGGGGACAATTGGTTTTCTGCGGTTGTTTAACTAAAATAATTGCATGAAGCAAACTATGAAATCCAACAATCTACACAAAACTAAAGACAGATATATTAATCATGCGAATTTATTTAAAAACTTAATTCACATCAAGTTCATTTTGTTTAATTGTCATCGAGAATAGGCTTTTTTAAGGTAACTCAATATTCAGAATGTGGTTACTTCAATATTAACTTCGGTTTTCGGAAAATGAATGTTTATACATTTACGGTTGACAATGTACTAATAGGTCGACTAATTTTCAAACATTTCCAATTTATTAACTGGAGGATATTCAATACGACTGAAATATGAATCAAGAAAATAGTTCAGTGTAATGAAATCCCATTCAAAATTTTCATTGTCATATTTGTTAAAACTGAGTACGTAGCCTCAGACACGATATTAACCCCACTAACATTTTACTAAACAGATGATTTATATAAAAAAATAACTTCATATCATACGTTATTTGTTTCTTAATAATTTATGTCAAACATCTCGTGTTTTTATAATCATAGTTGAGTATTATCAAAACAAAAAGTTGACAGGTCATGAGAAAGAAACAGTGAAGTTCTGTTTCGTGACTAGATTTTAAATCGTTTTCGAAGTTTCATTACATTTCGGGAATTTTTTTCTGTAATGAAATGGATCTGTCTAAGTATCGATTTGAAATAATCTAGTTGTGTAGGTGTACAATTTTATAACCCAACTGAATTTTAGTGACCAGTACAATAGAATATAATTATGTAGGGAATGTTTAATAAACGTTTAGATAAAATAGACAAATCACTAATTTGAATTGGTGAGAAGTACCTTAATGACAAATGGAAAAGAACAAACAATATCCCGATACAAATTAATGGCAATAACAAAAAAAACGATACAATAGGCTATTTATGTGTAAGTGATAGAGTTTTTGTTTACACAAGTAATCAATAAATATGACATAATTAGGTAAATGGATATTTTGTATAGGACTAATCGTTTAAACATTCTACTTGATTATCCCGTTTGTTATAATGAATGATAACAGCATTTAATTCATGTTTTATTTAAATGTAAAAGAGGAAAAAACTTATTTTTCAACCAATTGTTTGACATTTACATGTTTTAACAGAATTACAGACTAGTAAAGGGTAATTTTTGAATATCTTTTTCATGCCATATATGTTGTTATATTACCTTATCAATAGAACACATCATTAAACTAATCTACAAATGATTTAGGAATAAACATAGGTCATAAATAAGAACTTTCATTTAAATTTGATTGAACAGTTTCACAGTATTTGGGCACCGAGTTGATGTGAGTCATTAAAGAGGATAATTTTAATGCTTGATTATATTTCCTTGAAAAAGTTTAGAAC